TTTGTTGGAAGAGAAGGAATTACACGCTGGTCAAATAACAAAAATGGTGCCTTGCGAAACGAACAGTCTCGATTGACGAGTTAAATGAAAAACGTAAGTTTATAACGAAACATTTTCAAGAGAATAACAAACGACAAGAAGCGGCATCAACTCCATAAATGGCCATCTGTAACTACTTTGCCTTGCCTGCGTGGAACTAACGTAAAAACGAAGTCAAGAGTTTGTGCAGGGGCTGGACACTTACGATAAAGGGAGACGAGGTAATTCTTGTATAGAAAAAATCCGTCAAAGTGTTATGTTCAGTGAAACATCAAGTGTTATGTTCACTGCAGTGAAATATCAAGTGTTATGTTCACTGCAATGAAAATATCACTTTTCTCAGCTTCAGAAAACTGAAGTATACATGTAGTATAGATCGACTCTTGACACCCTACGTGGATGCGCTTGAACTGGCAGCTCATCGGGATACGGGGTAAGAATAGCCCCCCCACCTGTTCAAGGGTTAACATTATGCCCCTTGGATGTTAATGTTATGCTCTGTTCAAGGGTTAACGTTATTCCCCATGGATGTAAATGTTATGCTCTGCTCAAGGGTTAACATTATGCCCCTTGGATGTTAACGTGATGTTCCGATAATGTTTACATTGTGCCCGTTGATGTTAACGCTATGCCCCGTTGATGTTTACGCTATGCTCCATTGATGTTATGATGTCTTTACGTTCATGTAGAACGAGTTCCTGATCACTAGTATGTTCATGTAGAATGAGTTCCTGATCACTAGTATGTTCATGTAGAATGCGTTCCTGATCACTAGTATGTTCATGTAGAATGAGTTCCTGATCACTAGTATGTACATGTAGAATGAGTTCCTGATCACTAGTATGTTCATGTAGAATGCGTTCCTGATCACTAGTATGTTCATGTAGAATGAGTTCCTGATCACTAGTATGTTCATGTAGAATGAGGTCCTGGATCACTAGTATGTTCATGTAGAATGAGGTCCTGGATCACTAGTATGTTCATGTATAAAGAGTTCCTGATCACTAGTATGTTCATGTAGAATGAGCTCCTGGATCACTAGTATGTTCACGTAGAATGAGCTCCTGGATCACTAGTATGTTCATGTAGAATGAGCTCCTGGATCACTAGTATGTTCATGTAGAATGCGTTCCTGATCACTAGTATGTTCATGTAGAATGAGCTCCTGGATCACTAGTATGTTCATGTAGAATGAGTTCTTGATCACTAGTATGTTCATGTAGAATGAGTTCCTGATCACTAGTATGTTCATGTAGAATGCGTTCTTGATCACTAGTATCTTCATGTAGAATGCGTTCTTGATCACTAGTATGTTCATGTAGAATGAGTTCCTGATCACTAGTATGTTCATGTAGAATGAGTTCCTGATCACTAGTATGTTCGTGTAGAATGAGTTCCTGATCACTAGTATGTCAATGTAGAATGCGTTCTTGATCACTAGTATGTTCATGTAGAATGCGTTCTTGATCACTTGTATGTTCATGTAGAATGAGTTCCTGATCACTAGTATGTTCATGTAGAATGAGTTCCTGATCACTAGTATGTTCATGTAGAATGAGTTCCTGATCACTAGTATGTTCATGTAGAATGAGTTCCTGATCACTAGTATGTTCATGTAGAATGAGTTCCTGATCACTAGGTTGTTCATGTAGAATGCGTTCTTGATCACTAGTATGTTCATGTAGAATGAGTTCCTGATCACTAGTATGTTCATGGACGCCGATAAACAGCTGAGTCAGGGAGAAATAATTGCAATAAATCAGTGATCTGGCTTGGGCTAATGACAATCCTGAAAAGGTGTGCAAAGCCTGCCCAACACATAGCAAAAACGTTCTGGTCGTATAGATGTCGTGGCTACGTCCTACCCTTCTGCTTTTTTGTCTATTCTGTCTACGCCCCGAACAACTCAGATCGATTTCCGTTCTGGGTCAGTGAGCTTGTCTGCCCAAGAAACATCGTATTAGGTTTATTCGATCTTCTGCTAAACTTAATGTCACTGGGTGTCGGCAACCAGTCCATGCTGCTGGGTATTTGGGATACACAGGTAAACGTGACGCATTCCAAACTTGCACGTAAAAACTGATTTCAGTTTCCCAAGAAAACGAATCACTCATATCTCAAGTGTACTCTGTAGTAACTCCAGAAACTCCATTAAAGACATTCAACCGGTTTATGACAGTTTATCAGTATACAAACGTGTAGATGTTATTTCAATGTCGCAGTGCCAAATGGAATACCTTTTATTAATGAAATGTTCCTCAGTAAATATTGTTACCGCTTGCACTTTTCTTACTGTGTGGAGCTTATGACGGTTGAGGTTATTACTCCTCAGAAGAGCATTTCGCCTCTTTTATCGATGATTACCCATTACCCGGGAGCTTGATGCGATGTGCACCGGCCCGTGTGTTAACACATGTTCACAATACACGATTACGCGAATGTACACCCAGACGTTATAACTGATCACAAGATATTGAGCAAATCGTTTGGATGGTTTTGAGTAGTACATAGAGAATACGACGTAGAGTTACTGTAACTCTCTCATTCACATGCATAGCAATATCGAGACGGCTGGGAAGCCTAGTGGTTAAAGCCTTCGCCCGTCACGCTCGATTCCCGACATGGGTACAATGTGTGAAGCCCATTTCTGGTGACCCCCTCCGTGATATTGCTGGAATATTGCTAAAAGCTACGTAAAACCATACTCACTCACTCGCATAGCAATATCGGCTTAAGTCGTCAACGTAGGCTTAAATAACTATATCTGGTGTATAATCGTGTAATCGTGTATTGTGAACACAATGAATCAAACTCCTTGGGAATGATTTTTATCATTGACAGCCACAACTACATACCAAGAATCCCCAGACAGAGTAGCAAGAAGGATGCAGCTTTCAATCCTCGGTTTGACTGCAGTACTAGTCTGTCTTACAGACCCTGACACAAATATATCAACTACAGCCCATGCAAGTCTATAATGTTTGGCAAGTCTAGATTACTCAGTCTGAAAATGTAGTCTGTCTTACAGACCCTGATACAAATATATCAACTACAGCCCATGCAAGTCTATAATGTTTGACAAGTCTAGATTACTGCAGTATCAGGCAAATGAAGAGAATCACTGGGCTCCCTTTTTATTATATTTTTATTAAGATAACTGAGCAACTGTTTTTTCTGTACGATATGTTCATTTCAGAGACTAGATGTTAGTCTACTACAGTACCACAGATACGCTATTAGCAGCGCGCCTCAGTGTCTAAAGCATGCAGACTGGTTTGTCGACAGTTCGGCACACAAATCACACACACGCCCTCCTAGACATGATGTTGGGACGACTTCGTGTAACTCGGGGTACAAGGGGCAAGGGGATTCAGCCCATCTCCTCGGTGTTATCAACTGCTCGTGCACCATAGGAATCTTTGACGTCCATGTTATTGTGTCTTCAGCTCATATTGGCTTCAATCCTAGAACAGTTTATGTCTGTGTTTAGATGGTTGGCTGAATGAGATGTAACCTAGTATTATCCCACCGCGTCTGGAGTAATTGTCTCGAAAGTGCTTATTGAGCAAGTCTAAGCAGCCTGCGAAGCGCAAGGAATCTCGAGATAACCGTAGTCATCCAAAGGTTACTTTGTCCCCCGCCCCCCCCCCCCCCCCCCCCCCCCCCCCCCTCACCCCACCCCATGCCCGACCTCTGCATTCGTTTGACAAGTTTCAGAACTGCAAATTATAGACTACCATTGGACACAGAATAATATGTCAACACTAGATGAAGAAAACATATAGTCGACACTGCATGATAGAATGATGGCGTTTGTGTTCTGTGTCTCATTTTTGTTATTTACGGGGGAAACACTTCATGCTTTTACAGTAAATATATTCCATATATGTGTGTGCGTGCGTGCGTGCGTGCGTGCGTGCGTGCGTGCGTGCGTGCGTGTGTTTGTATGTCATCTGTTCGAAGATGACTTGGATGTTGATGTCTAGCAATGTTCAGTTCCAACCCTTGTTGATGTTATGGATCACCTACTATGAGATGAACGCTCTCAGGACATTGCAGATTAAACCGACATCTTTGAAATCAGTATCCCCGATGCATGTGCCCCAAGATCGGAAGCTCTTCTTGTTGAGGTCACGTTTCATTGTAGAGGATGATATTCACTACCCGACCAGCCCCCCATGCGGCTAGTATTCTATGACCCTTGGAGTTTTTTAAGCATTCCAGAAGCCTGAATAATATTAATTTACACCAGCTACTTTCTGTATGTCGGGATACTCTAGGGGGTGTTGAGGATGCATTGACCTTTGCTGCATCATTTAAATTTCTTTATGTCTCCTCGGCCTACCCACCCACCCCTATATTTCAGTAGTAGCATCTATGGCGTGTTATTCCTCAGTGTTTGGGGGTCAACGACCTTCTTATCTCTCAAATTGGCGTTAAACCCAACTCACTCACTCAGTTTTACTCCGTTCATGTCACTAACTCTATTTGAAGACAAACTATAATACGATTTGCAGAATGTCACGACAAGCGATTGAAATGAAAGGCACTTTTGGGGTTGTCGTTGTTGTGAAATATTAAACTAGACGAAACCACTTAAATGCGATCCATCCACCCCCCCACCCAGCCATCCATCCATCCACCCCCACCCACCCACATACATACATACATACATACATACATACATACATACATACATACATACATACATACATACATACATACATACATACATACAATTGTTTTTGTGTAAACATCCTGCGGGTTCTGGAGGAAGAAATGCTGTAATTGCGTCTTACGAGCCCTCGTTCCCGCCCCTCCCGAATATTACAGTAACACGATATCCTACCATTGTGGAGGGCTTTCAGACCGGGTACCTGTCTTTGTTGCCAGTCAGTGATGGGGAAACATGTACAGATACCCGGGGTATCAAGTTCTGGCTGTTGTGCAAGTCTCCCGGCAATGTGCAGAAACAAGAGGTATAAAGTCACCACCCAAGCCGGTCCCCGCACACCCTGACCAGCTCTCAGACAGGCAAGATGATGCGAGCAGCACTCCTGTGTTTGGTGGTGGCCTTCGTTGAGGCGTCAGAATCCGGAGAAGCACGGTGCCAGGTAAGAAATCGCTGTATAGCCCGTTTCTTTGAAAAATTACTGCTTGACATTTACTCTTCATGAATATTGCTGTTCAGAATGGAATCCCAGTGTACATTCATGTGTCAAGATGCCTCCCTTCGACCACGCCCTACAATGACAGATAGTTCCTTGACACCTAGTTGCTAAGGAACATCTGTGACGGCTGATGTACACATGTATGAAAGGTATATTCAAATGTCATATGTTGAAAGTATTGTCATTTCAATGTTAGACTAAAGCCGGGGATGGATAATTCTGATGCCTGTACTTCCGGTGGTATGATCACGTGCCCCTGTCGCTGATACCAAATGTATGTCTGATCTAAAACGATTGACAAAACAGAGCGGTGAATGAAACCGCGACCAATGACTAGGCAGCTGACTGGCCACACACCGATAAGCAGTTGATTTCTGCATAGCTGAGGATGGCTCCCCCTGAACGCTATAACCGTTTAGAACACGGACGTACTGGACCCCTGAACGCTATAACCGTTACACGAACGTACTGGACCCCTGAACGCTATAACCGTTACACGAATGTACTGGACCCCTGAACGCTACAATCGTTTAGAACACGAACTTACTGGACCCCTGAACGCTACAACCGTTTAGAACACGAACGTACTGGACCCCTGAACGCTACAACCGTTTAAAACACGAATGTACTGGACCCCTGAACGCTACAACCGTTACACGAACGCACTGGACGCCTGAACGCTATATCCGTTTTGAACACGAACGCACTGGACCCCAATGCTACAACCGTTTAGAACACGGACGTACTGGACGCCTGAACGCTACAACCGTTTAGAACACGAACGTACTGGACCCCTGAATGCTACAACCGTTACACGAACGCACTGGACGCCTGAACGCTATAACCGTTTAGAACACGGACGTACTGGACCCCTGAACGCTACAACCGTTTAGAACACGGACGTACTGGACGCCTGAACGCTATAACCGTTTAGAACACGGACGTACTGGACCCCTGAACGCTATAACCGTTTAGAACACGGACGTACTGGACCCCTGAACGCTACAACCGTTTAGAACACGGACGTACTGGACCCCTGAACGCTACAACCGTTTAGAACACGGACGTACTGGACCCCTGAACGCTACAACCGTTTAGAACACGGACGTACTCGACCCCTGAACGCTATAACCGTTTAGAACACGAACGTACTGGACCCCTGAACGCTAAGACCGTTTAGAACACGGACGTACTGGACGCCTGAACGCTACAACCGTTTAGAACACGAACGTACTGGACCCCTGAACGCTACAACCGTTACACGAACGCACTGGACGCCTGAACGCTACAACCGTTTAGAACACGAACGTACTGGACCCCTGAACGCTACAACCGTTTAGAACACGGACGTACTGGACCCCTGAACGCTACAACCGTTTAGAACACGGACGTACTGGACCCCTGAACGCTACAACCGTTTAGAACACGGACGTACTGGACGCCTGAACGCTACAACCGTTTAGAACACGGACGTACTGGACCCCTGAACGCTACAACCGTTTAGAACTCGGACGTACTGGACCCCTGAACGCTACAACCGTTTAGAACACGGACGTACTGGACCCCTGAACGCTACAACCGTTACACGAACGCACTGGACGCCTGAACGCTATATCCGTTAGAACACGAACGTACTGATATGTTCATGGGCCTGGAACGTTCATGGGCCTGATACGTTCATGCACCTGATATGTTCATGGGCCTGATACGCCCAAAAGCCTGATACGTTCATGCACCTGATATGTTCATGGGCCTGATATATCCATAGGCCTGATATGTTCATGGGCCTGATATGTTCACGGGCCTGATATGTTCATGGGCCTGATACGTTCATGCACCTGATATGTTCTTTGGTCTGATATGTTCATGGGCCTGATATGTTCATAGGCCTGATATGTTCATGGGCCTGATACGTTCATGCACCTGATATGTTCATGGGCCTGATACGTTTATGCACCTGATCCGTTCATGCACCTGATATGTTCATGGGCCTGATACGTTCATGGGCCTGATATGTTCATGGTCCTGATGCGTTCATGGGTCTGATACGTTCATGCACCTGATATGTTCATGGGCCTGATATGTTCATGGGCCTGATACGTTCATGCACCTGATATGTTCATGGGCCTGATATGTTCATGGGCCTGATACGTTCATGGGCCTGATATGTTCATGGGCCTGATACGTTCATGGGCCTGATACGTTCCTATGAATATCAAAGGTCGAGTATAACGCCTGTATTTGGGAGGAAGACATGAAGCTTATTATGTCCGGAGTGACTATGTGTTTAAAATGTTATTTCACGTGTTTCAGGACAATCATGATATAACCCCACGTAAGTATATAGCGTCTCATCATCCTACCTGTAATTATTACACCTGAGGCAGAACGCAGCCCATGTGTGTCGCCAGGTGACTGCAGTGCGTGACAGGGCTACGATGCACTAATATGATATTGTGTATCAAGCCAAACGTATGTCTTGTCGCCTGCAGTTTCAAAGAATATTAACCGTTATGTCTCGTACGTTTCGTAAGGGACTGACAAGTCAGGATTAACACATCATACTTAAGTATATCACATTATAAAAATAGTTTATTCGCCGAATCATGCTGGATGTCCTGGAAAATACCTATGTTGTGAAAAAAACAACATTTGAGTGACGCAAACACTAATAAAAGTATTCTTTCTCTAACACTAATCGCTCCGTCCAAAGACATTATTTGAGATTGCTCCCTTACAAAGTTGTTTCAGAACACTATTCTAATATTGAAAGTTTTTGTAGAAATGTAATGTAAACGTTCTACATTGTCATATCAACAAGGTGCGTTCCTAAAAATGCCTGTTTTAGCGAGTACCTGGGCCGACTGGGGAATGAAGCTCTGGCTTGTTGGAGAATGTGGGAAGACCATAGAAAATGACCTGACTGCACTGCGTGCAGAAATGAAGGGTGAAGACAAAATGGGTGAGTTTCGGAGTTCATAGGGTATCCCAGACAAGCTGGTACAATGTACTACAGATACTTACGTCACTAGCAATAGGTGAGGTGAAATGGTAAAATGGGGTTTAACGTCGCGTTCAAGCTTATTGCAATTATACAGCGAGGTGCATCATGTATGTTTGTGTGTGAGAGAGAGTGTGTGTGTGTGTGTGTGTGTGTGTGTGTGTGTGTGTGAGAGAGAGAGAGAGAGAGAGAGAGAGAGAGAGAGAGAGTGAAAGAAGCTGAATGTGTGAGGTAGAGAGAGAGGGCGAGAGAGAGAGAGGGGGGGGGGGGGGGGGGGAGTATCCTAAAAACTCAGGGTTATAACACAGGTATTTACAATAATAGTGACAAGAGTATCCCATGAACACGGGGTTATAACACAAATATTTACAATAACAGTGACAAGAGGATCCCATGAACACGGGGTTATAACACAGGTGTTTACAATAATAGTGACAAGAGGATCCCATGAACACGGGGTTATAATAACACAGATATTTACAACAACAGTGACAAGAGGATCCCATGAACACGGGGTTATAATAACACAGATATTTACAATAACAGTGACAAGAGTATCCCATGAACACGGGGTTATAACACAGGTATTTACAACAACAGTGACAAGAGTATCCCATGAACACGGGGTTATAACACAGGTATTAACAATAACAGTGACAAGAGGATCCCATTAACACGGGGTTAAAACACAGGTATTTACAACAGTGACAAGAATATCCTGATAATTACATACTAATATTGTGGAAGATATCCTTCGTTATTTTACCAGAAAAAAGAGATATAAACTGTTATTTATCTTCTTTATTTCTATATTTACAAATTGGTAATACTCAGTTTGGAAACCTCATCACACGAAGGCCACATTTGAACAAAGGGCCTGTATCGCGTCATGTCTTCAGTCCAAATGACTCAGTCACTGTGTGATGTCGATAAAGTTACGATGGGGTAGCGACAAAACCCATACAGGTACAATATGTGAAGCAAGTATCCCATGTCTATTGCTTTTGATGGCTTGGACACTTAACCACACATATCAATAGCATGATCAGATACTGTATATTTCTGCATATTTATCGCATATTTCTCTAAACAGAATGGGAGGATATCCGCGAGAGACTGGATGGGGTTATTGAGAAGACTTCCAAGATAATATTCCATTCACGCTTGTTGTTCGGGCCTATGCTGACAATGCCAAGTAAGTTCTCAGAATCCTCAGGTGGCTTTTATATTGATGGATAATCTATTCAATTTGTGCAAGGTAAACATGAAAACACGCCACTCTTTGCATGTGGCCAGCGAGATATGAAGAGACTATATGAGCATGACCGGAAGGTAGCATTGGAGGATGAGACTATATGCACAAAACCCGACGTTAGCATTGGAGAATGAGATCATATAAGCAAGACCGGGAGTTAATATTGGAATACGGTACTCGACCAGGCAGTTTAAAGTATAGGACTGGTCATGGAATGCCCATGTGTAAATAAACATTTAAACAGATTAGCAACATTAGAAACTTGTGGTTGTCACTGTCTATTCAGATCTTCTATGTTGGACATTTTGTTGTATTACACTGTATATCGGGAAATATTTACCAGCACATTCTGTTTGGTTGCAGCTGAAATGGAGTCTCTTGTGTGCGATAGTGTGGTCACTTTCTCAAAGACTGAAGGTAGGTTTTTGAGACAATCATTCTGAATGTGTTCTTTTCGCCCCAGCATTATGTTTGCACTGGCGGGTGGTGGGTGACCACTTTTCAGACACCTTATGTGTCAACTGCCAGGTGTCAACCTGTCACGTGTTGACTTGGTTATAGTGTGCACCTACCTTTCAGTCGCTCCGTCGCTGTCATCATCTGACCGGGTGTGGGGGTGGAGGGGTGGGGGTATGGGGGTGGGAGATCGGGGCTACCTATTCAGTTCCTCGAACAAGCACAATCCGTTTCTTCAAAGTGTTCTTCGAAAATACGTTCTCCTTCCAGGTATATTTTTAAACAAATAGATTACATTCATTTGGGTTCTATTTTCTACGAACTATTTCGGATTGTAAGGTCTTGAGGTGAGGTGTGGTGAGGTGAAGTTGGTTTTAAGGTCGCGTTAAGGATGATTGCACGACGTGCATGTACATTATAACGTCGTGCATGTATATGTGTATGTTTGTGTGTACTGTTTGTGTCTGAGGTGGTCGAATGGTCTTAAACAATACTTTTGTTGTTTTTATTGATATGATCGCGCTTTGGAAAGATGATATTTTGGGGGAATTTAGTAAATCATGGTTTGGATAGGATGAAAGAACAAAGGCCCTTTGAACAGTGTCCTTTTTGACCTTGGTACTAGATTCTAAGTAGGTATGTTTAGGTATGTTAAAGTTTCAATACAAACATCAGAAACATCATATAAAAGTCCAGTTTCCATCCTTGCCGAACTAGACTGGAATTTCAGGGCTCCAACATAGCGCCCCCAGAGGCTGTTATGAGTCATGTCCCTTCTATGTGCCCTCCTTCTGACCAATCGGATTCCACCTCTCATATCACATGCACTTGCTTCAAACAAAATGGCGGCGCCCTGTCAGGACGATCAGATCGATAATCAAGAGCTATATTGTAAAAAACGGGCCTTTCTTCGCGAAATGCATCAAATCACGTGAGCACCTTGATTAGAAACATGAAATGATTTGGACTATATCTGTTGACAACGAGTTGACGGTACACATGCTTTACAAGCGTTACGTGATGCATAAACTCGTTAGCCCAGCCAAGATATAACTCCATAATTCCTACCAGGTTCGGCAAGATGGAAACTGGACTTTTATAGTCAGTTATCTTCATTGGGAAGGTGTATCATAAACGAATATGAAGTAACACACCAGATTCCCCCAAAAGAAAAAAAAGTTTAGAACAATAAAAATATGATTTATGTTTTATATGTTGTCAGATTTTGAGGCAAGTCCAGCTCTGCGCCACGGTCCTATCCTAGCTGACGCCAAATGTTTCTCTGTCCTTGTAAGACAGGCCTTCACCTTCCGCTGGATGGAACGTAAGTAGCCAGTGTTCAAGTGTCGACATCACCTTCAGAATAAATATCCGACATACAAGTGATTACTGTAGCTGTGAATGCTTGGCTGAAATTGGTGTGAGTCTGTTCTGTCCGTTATCCTGTCGCTCAACTGGCAGAGAGTGTACACTTGTTGTAGGCGTGTACGCCCATTTATTGTCATTTGTAGGCACTGTGATTTCCTACTGAATATCAGTGTGATGAATACCGGTGATTGTGGTCTCTGTGGCACAAGGGGTTCCTCTGTTAAATAGACTTTTAGTGAGTTGCATAATTATTACACTCTCACAAATCGAAACCTTTGTCCATTTTTTATGACACCCGTGAAGATTCCGGGGTAGAATAGGTCTTCAGCAACCCATGCTTGCCGTAAAAGGTGATTATGCTTGTCGTAAAAGGCGATCGGGTGGTCAGGCTCGCTGACTTGGTTGATGCACGTCATCGATCCCAATTGCCTGGATCGATGCTCATGATATTAATCACTGGATTGTCTGGTCCAGACTCGATTATTTACAGACCGCCGTCATATAGCTGGAATATTGCTGAGTGCGGCGTTAAACAACAAACCAACCAACCAACCAACCATTTTTTATGACCAGTCGTTATTCAAATCACTTCACATAAGTATTCCCGTGTTGGCTATATGACATACAACTCCAGTATTCCCGTGTTGGCTATATGACATATAACTTCTGTATGCCCATGTTGGCTATATGACATACAACTCCAGTATTCCCGTGTTGGCTATATGACATATAACTTCTGTATGCCCATGTTGGCTATATGACATACAACTCCAGTATTTCCGTGTTGGCTATATGACATACAACTCCAGTATGCCCGTGTTGGCTATATGACACACAACTCCAGTATTCTCATGTTGGCTATATGACATACAACTCCAGTATTCCCGTGTTGGCTATATGACATACAACTCCAGTATTCCCATGTTGGCTATATGACATATAACTTCTGTATGCCCGTGTTGGCTATATGACATACAACTCCAGTATTCCCGTGTTGGCTATATGCTTACAACTCCAGTATACCCATGTTGGCTATATGACATATAACTTCTGTATGCCCGTGTTGGCTATATGACATACAACTCCAGTATGCCCGTGTTGGCTATATGACACACAACTCCAGTATTCCCATGTTGGCTATATGACATACAACTCCAGTATTCCCGTGTTGGCTATATGACATACAACTCCAGTATTCCCATGTTGGCTATATGACATATAACTTCTGTATGCCCGTGTTGGCTATATGACATACAACTCCAGTATTCCCGTGTTGGCTATATGCTTACAACTCCAGTATACCCATGTTGGCTATATGACATATAACTTATGTATGCCCGTGTTGGCTATATGACATACAACTCCAGTATACCCATGTTAGCTATATGACATACAACTCCAGTATTCCCGTGTTGGCTATATGACATACAACTCCAGTATTCCTGTGTTGGCTATATGACATACAACTCCAGTATTCCCGTGTTGGCTATATGACATACAACTCCAGTATTCCTGTGTTGGCTATATGACATACAACTCCAGTATGCCCATGCTGGCTATTTGACATATAACTTCTGTATGCCCGTGTTGGCTATATGACATACAACTCCAGTATTCCTGTGTTGGCTATATGACATACAACTCCAGTATTCCCATGTTGGCTATATGACATACAACTCCAGCATACCCGTGTTGGCTATATGACATATAAGTTCTGTATGCCCGTGTTGGCTATATGACATACAACTCTAGTAGGCCCATGCTGGCTATATGACATATAACTTCTGTATGCCCGTGTTGGCTATATGACATACAACTCCAGTATGCCCATGCTGGCTATATAACATATAACTTCAGTATGTCCATGATGGGTATATGACATATCCAGTGTTTGCTTTCCGTGCAGAGAACAAATACAGCGAGCAAGAGGTCGCATTGCTGTTCATGGAGTCTGTGAATCATCTGTTGAGGCTGCAGCATGATGGGCATGCCTTCCACGTTGCCTTGTCCAAGCTGTCCGGCAGACAGGACGACAAGCCGTCCGACAGCTATGACACAGATGCGGTTAAAGGTGAGTAGACTGATGGAGAGGTCAGCATGGCGATCTCCACAATCTATATACTCCCCTCTGCTTACAGCAAATCTCCCAAAAATACATACTTGTCAAATTTCAAAGACATATTGGTTGACATAATAACCTAGGTCACCGTGCATATACCTCCCCGTGTGTGATCATGCACCACTCATGTACCTAGCGTCATGTGCATCCCTTCTCGCGTGCTTATCATCTCAGGTACCTAGGTCTTGTGCATACCCCACGTGTTTATTATGCATTACTCACGTACCTAGGGTCGTGTGGCCTACTGTCAGTGGAGGCTCCTGGTGCCAGGTGTAGGCCTCCTGTCAGTGGAGGCTCCTGGTGCTAGGTGTAGGCCTCCTGTCACTGGAGGCTCCTGGTGCCAGATGTAGGCCTACTGTCACTGGAGGCTCCTGGTGCCAGATGTAGGCCTCCTGTCAGTGGAGGCTCCTGGTGCCAGATGTAGGCCTACTGTCACTGGAGGCTCCTGGTGCTAGATGTAGGCCTACTGTCACTGGACGCTCCTGGTGCCAGATGTAGGCCTCCTGTCACTGGACGCTCCTGGTGCCAGATGTAGGCCTCCTGTCACTGGACGCTCCTGGTGCTAGATGTAGGCCTACTGTCAGTGGAGGCTCCTGGTGCCAGATGTAGGCCTACTGTCAGTGGAGGCTCCTGGTGCCAGATGTAGGCCTCCTGTCAGTGGAGGCTCCTGGTGCCAGATGTAGGCCTCCTGTTAGTGGAGGCTCCTGGTGCCAGATGTAGGCCTCCTGTTAGTGGAGGCTCCTGGTGCCAGATGTAGGCCTCCTGTCACTGGAGGCTCCTGGTGCCAGATGTAGGCCTCCTGTTAGTGGAGGCTCCTGCTGCCAGATGTAGGCCTCCTGTCACTGGAGGCTCCTGGTGCCAGGTGTAGGCCTCCTGTCAGTGGAGGCTCCTGGTGCTAGGTGTAGGCCTCCTGTCACTGGAGGCTCCTGGTGCCAGATGTAGGCCTCCTGTCACTGGACGCTCCTGGTGCCAGATGTAGGCCTCCTGTCACTGGAGGCTCCTGGTGCCAGATGTAGGCCTCCTGTTAGTGGAGGCTCCTGGTGCCAGATGAAGGCCTCCTGTCACTGGAGGCTCCTGCTGCCAGATGTAGGCCTCCTGTCATTGGAGGCTCCTGGTGCCAGATGTAGGCCTCCTGTTAGTGGAGGCTCCTGGTGCCAGATGTAGGCCTCCTGTCAGTGGAGGCTCCTGGTGCCAGATGTAGGCCTCCTGTTAGTGGAGGCTCCTGGTGCCAGATGTAGGCCTCCTGTCACTGGACGCTCCTGGTGCCAGATGTAGGCCTCTTGTTAGTGGAGGCTCCTGGTGCCAGATGTAGGCCTCTTGTTAGTGGAGGCTCCTGGTGCCAGATATAGGCTTTCTGTGTGTTTGTACGGTGCATCTTAGTGTATGTGTCACAACACTGTAAGGCTCTAAACCTACACCCTCCATTATTGTTTTATGATGTCCGTATCTGTATGTATGCTTATTAATGATGTCTTTTTCATTTCAGTCGACACCAAAGAAAACATCCTTGAGAGACTGATCAAAGCATTGAAGACAAACCCCTGAACACATTCGCCTCCCCACATTCCTGTCACGCTCTTTGCGTTCTTACCACATAACCACGTTTCTCAACCAGCTTTAACTTATCCCGCTACAGAGCTTAACAAGCGTGCACTTTCATCTACACTGAGAGAATCCAGTAAAAAAACATACAGTGAAGTTATGCTTCGGGAAAATAAGACACTCGTTAAACTTTAGTATTTGAGGATTTTACTACCTTGGCAATATTGGCCGATGATCTTCGGCGCACAGTCGATATGTCTTGTCATAAAAATGTCCCTCTTTCAGTTATGACCATATTTCTCTGCATAAATCTTAAATAAATCTTGGTTCCAACACAGCAGGAATGCTCTGTTTGTAATACAACTGCATTTATTTGACATCACCAGTTACTCGTAGAATAGACCCTGTGATGTGATGAAACAGGAATAAAGTACTTCAAATAAGATTAAGATATTCCTTTGTTTGTTATACAGCCCGAGGGGGTATTGGACATGGTACCCCCAGCGACATGGGGCGGTCCTCGGGGGCTCTTTATTCGCCGGGTACTTGACATGGTACCCCCAGCGACATGGGGCGGTGCTAGGAGCTGTTTATACCCGGCGTAAGCCTGTGGCTTGTGCTGTCTCTGGAAGATTTATTGCAACACCTAAAACATTACACTAAACATTTCATCCTGTCCGAACCAATAATGGCGACCAACGTTCACCCCAAAGAGCACATCCTTGGGACCATTTCCTCAAAGAGATGTTTCTTCTATTATCGTAGCAACTGAATATCGTAGGAACATGGGGACAGTTGGGTGGCCTAGTGGTTAAAGCGTGGTCAAGACGAAGACCCGGATTCGATTCCCAACATGGGTACAATAGGTGAAGCCCATTTCCGGTATCCCCCGGGGTGATATTGCTGGAACATTGCTGAAAGCGGCGTAAATCCATACTCACTCACTCACTCACTCACTCACTCACTCACTCACTCACAGGAACATTGTCACACGATTGTCACGCAGCTGAGATCGTTTCATGAACGGAGGCTATGGTAGGCTGATTAGACAGTACAACGCCATTTGCCAAGTCAAAGTCAAAGATATTTATTGCATGTAAGGTCTCCAGTCCATATACAAAAGACTTACAAATAAGTACTTTGACATATTTGGATATATACTCACGTTTAACAATTTGTTTTTGATGGAAATTGCATTTTAAACATATATAGCCAGTTTTAATATGACAGCATCATCTTTTGTTGAAAGAAGAGAAATAAAAGCAGGTACAGGATAGTTTGACAGATAGCGATCTGGTATAAACTTTTTAGATCACAATAATAAGGACATACAAAAGTAAAATGGATATTTTAGCCATTTTCCATAGCTGAATGACATAATGGGCATCACCTCTTAATTGATGGACGTCGACGGGTTCTTCATGTTAATGTACATAGGTATGTTTCGGGTTGAATAAGACTCTTAAAAGTTCTATACAAGTCATACCTTGAACTGTTTTCTAGAGTGGAATGCCATTCCTGGTAAAACATATTAATAGATTGTTCACGAAATTGTTTCAAAAAGAGTTTAACATCACCCACTGTTTGGTTTAACCATACAAAGCCGTAGCTACGAGAAAACAGGTGGTTTTTAAATACGTGATGCCCATGTTACTTTGCCCATGTCGTCTAAATGTACAAGCATGTTATAAGCAAGTTTGGGGATTCGGCGTTCATGCATTCCAAGAATATTAAGCCAATATTTCAAGCATCTAATTTGGGAGTTGATGTATAACGGGTATCTGCCACACTCGCCAAAGACCATGCAATTGGGTGTTGATGGACCAACGGATAACAATTGTTTACAGGCTAAAAGATGTAGCTTTTCCAGACAATCGAATCGCTGAAATCTCCCTACTTCTTATCCATATAACAGGATTGGTTGGCTTTGAGCATCAAATAATATAAAAAATATATTCGGTGGTAAAAGCTTCTACTTTCTGCAAGACAGACATTACATTGATTAAAGCCTTCTTTGCGCACTCTTCTTGAAGTTCATCGTCTGGGTAAAATGACACCAATATATGTATAATGGCTTAGAACATTAACACATTTACCATCGAATAACCAGCTTTCATTCAGTGCCACCTGACCCCCTCTTCTGAAAATGACGACATTAGTTTTATCATAGTTTACAGATAATTTTCATTCTAAATTGTTAAGTTGTTTTTGTTTTTGCCGTCCCCTGCTAACAACGCTCAAGAGATTACACCATGATTTAAACCAACTCACAAACTGGCAGGAAATAACGTACGCTCGTCACGCCAAAGGTCCGGGTTCGTTTCTAAACAATGTTCAATATGTGAAGCCAATTTCTGGTGTCACTTTGTCTTGTTTGGCTGGAATAAAACCATCCTGACTCACTTACTACTTAAAGGGACCGATATATATTTCTGTTCTCACAGGAAAATCCGACTTGATTTACCGTGTGTAATAACTTATACTGTCCCGGTAAACAATCTGATTTCCTGACAATAGGAATCTGACAATTATCTGACAACACAACACGAGGCCGTATTCCTTGCATGCTACCCCTTCATTATAATGCTTATTATCTTAGCGATCAGGAGCGAGATATAATACTCCATATAGACGTGACAGTAGCTATTTAGTTGAAATGCCGCTGTGAGTGAGTGAGTGACTGACTGAGAATGTTTTTACGGCGCCTTTAGCAATATTCCAGCAATATCACGGCGGGGGACGCAGGAAAGGCACTTCACACATTATACCCATGTCGGGAATCGAAGCAGGGTCTTCGGCATGACGAGCAAACGCTTTAACCACTAACCATTAAAGCATTCGCTCGTCACGCTGACCGCCCCGAAATTCCGCTGTGCAACCACTAGAATATTTCGTGGTGCAAGTGAACTTGTTTGTTACCTGTAGGCAGGTAGTGTAGTGCTTATGGACTGGCGAGCTATGTCAACCAGTACGAAATGCGATCTTAGTTGTTGACAAGTTAACTTTTGTTAGGATGACCTCTAGCCCTGGGTAGACAGTGAACATGGTAGACCACTGTGCAGCGTTGTCAATACATTCTCAGTCACTCATACCGCCCTGTGGAGCTTCTGCAGTCTTGCTACCGTCTACAGCGAGTGAACACAGAGGATATGGAAAGGCGGGACTGGGTAACGCATCAGTGCTTCTCACTGCGGACTCTACTACACGCTGTACAGTTAGACAGCTGACAATGGGTGTAAACCTCCACGCGTTGTGGGCTCATCCAAGTGGGTATGACAATATCATATCAACATTGTATTGAAGTCGAGGGGGAGAAGAAAGAGAAGGAAAGAGAAGGAAAGAGAAGAAAGAGAAGAAAGAGATGGGTGCCCCCTCTCAACCCGTCCACACACCTTTTGTTCCTCTTGTCTCAACAAGACAGTGGACACCTTACTATAAGACGCCTTACTACTAAACTTGTTACTGGAATGTCAAGACCACGCCCCAGCTCGGGCTCGGTTAAAACAAGAATTGCAGTTAGATCCGCCATCTGTCGTAGATCTCCTAAAGCCAATAGATGCAATAGCAAACAAACTAACTCTATTTCTGAGAGATGGACAGCTACTCGAACGTATATAAACAGAGCAGCCAAGGATAAAAATGAAATCATATCAATATAAGAAAATAGACATCATATTATACAAAAACAGAAATAATGTGAATACCAAACTCACAACAGATATGTGTACCCTACTCACACACAGGAGTCCCAAAGAGGGACAGGTCAGCTGAAATTGCTTAGGCAGAAGGCGACCTCTTAAACACTTAATGCAACAACAATAACACCTCTCAAATAGACACATTACTACTAGGTACATCACTTCTAGATACATCACAATTAGACATCTGACAACTAAACATCTGACAGCTAGATACCTCACAACTCGATACGTCATGACATGACACCTCACAACACACATCACTATAAGTGACGGTGGTGGGTGACTAGATCGTCCCTGACAACGATGTCCATGCATCAGTGACGATGTTACCACCGATGTGCCTCCCTGCCCCTCCCCTGGCTTCAGTCGTCCCGTCTCGGTTACTGAAGACGTATTCCAAATCTTATTTGACTTGGGAATAGGCGTCACGGGCAACAAATTATTTCAATTTTCATTGTCACATTCAAACGTCTACTAAATAAAACTTTCTCTTCAGTGATTCATGGTGTCTCGACCCTGGGACTCAATTATTACAAATTGTCAGTGAGTCACTGCCTGGATGGTATAGTATTGGGTTTGAGGGCGACTGGGGCCATTAAAGGTCTATTTGCGCCCAACACACCAAATGTCTTTAAACAAGAGCAGAGTGAGTGATGGAAATGAGATGATTACCAAATCAGCTTCATGATCTAGTTAATATTTTAAAACCGAAAGTAATAACTGTTTCACTTCTGAATCGTAAGAAATCATTCCATAAAAAAGCAAATCAGACAACAACAAAAAGAAAAAACTGTTAAAATGGTTTAATAGTCAATACAAAATATATTAGATTTCTATAACATATCAAATATTCCCGATGCAGTCACGAAGTCTGATATTGCCCGCCGAATTGAGTCATAAATAAGTTGAGTCCCAAACGTGTAATTGAAGCAAATGAGATGTCTTTTTCATATACCACATTTCTTAAATTACGTCTGACATGACTGTAGCCAGGGCATTTGATTATATAATAGTTCATTGACTCGGGAATATTTTCATCACAGTGAGTACATACAGGGGAGGCCTCTTTATTAATGACACTGCGGTAGGTATTTAACCCACAGTGTCCAAGACGAAGTCTAGTACTAATGACTTCCATGACGAAATGTCATATTGCTTTTTACAGAAGGACACACTGTGGTCATGTCTCGCCCAGTAGTCCCAACATCCCACAACTGTTGTCGAAATCGTTTGATGGGCTGGAATCTACACAAAATCACACGTAATATATTGTGAATTAAAAAATGTAACCAGCTTCAATATTTCATAAACAATGTCACTGCGTGAATCACTGATACCAGATTCGATTGCCTCCACAGCTGCCATGGCGTCAGTAAATACAACTGCCTCATGATCATATCCATTAACCCACCTTAGACCTTGCAGCAGCATATACTGAGAGATGGTCATCGAGCCTGAAGACACTTGAGATGTACAAATCTTACATCCAGTATGCCCCAGAGGTTCGAAGCATGGCCGAATCCTTGGAGGCATCAGTAAATAGATGTGGTGCTGGCATAATGTTCAGTTATAAAATGCTGAGATGGAGCTTTTATAACATTAGGACTCATTCGTTTGCTAATGGTTGAATTCAGATCATAACAAAGGCCTGGTTTTAGAAGCAGCCAAGGAACAGCATCTGGAGGTGCAGAGGAATCAGCTGGGTTGCACTGTATAACTACATGCTCAGTGGCAAGTTTCTGAA